ACATTTCTTGCCTCAGGAATTCCCACCTCCAGACTCTGTTTTGGTTTTGTTTTTTCCTTTCTTTCTTTTTTTCTAGTGAGTTACTGGGTGGGGATAGAAACCAGGAGCACTCTACCACTGGGCTACATTCCTCTTCCTTTTTGTGTTTTAAAACAGAATCTCACTAAATTGCACATGCTGGCTGGACCCAAACTTGTGATCTTCCTGCCTCAGAGTTCTTAGTAGCTGGGATTACAGGGTGCTACCATTCCTGACCAAACTTTTTTTTTTAAAAATCAGTTTTTACATACTCCTGACTCACTTTTCAGGAGAGTATTCTTCACTTTACTGAAATTGCTGGCATTAATTTTGTACATGCAACATTCAACGCTCTTTTCTCACATCCTCATTCTATCTGCTCTTTTTGAAAAGAGAACAATCTTTCCTGGGAACACTCTCTGCAGGGGCCCCTGCTCTCTGATTTCTCCATATCCCTGATGGCTTCCTCTTCTCTTGACCACTACTCAGTTCTTAAGGGCTCCACCTCTCAGGGCCTGTTCTTGGCTTTCTTTCAGTCTCATTTCCTCTACCTCCAGTTCAAATCTCTCCTATGAAAATAAGACCCCCAAGTTAATTCTCCTGAACTTCAAACAAATATGCCCAAGTGAACTCGTTAACATCCCCAGTCTCAAAATGTGATGCAGATCCTGTGTTGCTGTTGCAGTGAACAGTCGCCAAGGCAGAAAGCTGGAAATGAACCCTGACTCCTCGGTAAATTCTGATATTTGGCCAAGGACACCCAGTGGCTTGTTTTTTCTGCCTCCTCTTTCCAGTGCGTCCTTGCCACGAGCCTTTGTTCTTTCCTCTTGGGTCCCTGCAGTAAGTTCCACACTGAGTCCCTGATTCCACCATCATCTCCCATTCTCAGACACTTTTCAGTTTCTCATCTGAATAATCTTTCTGAAGCACAATCCTAGTCCTCCTGTAGCAGGGTTTTAAAGGGTTTTTGTTTTTGGTTTTGGTTTTTTTGCCCCTAGACTCTGAAAATCATGCACTGTCACCCAGGCAGCTAAATCAACCTCCTGGATACCAGGGGCTCTGTGCCCTCCAAAGCCCACCTCATAGATACCTAAGGATCCTCGGTCCTTCACACAAGGCCTTCACCTCCCATTCCACATAACCTTCACTGGGCTGGAGCAGATCTCTCCACCGCAGGAACGCACACAGCCTCGGAACCACCTTAAGGACCCAACTCCTACGTCACCCTCTCTGCTGTCTTCCTTCTGCTTCATTCATTACCTTTCACAGCAGCAAGCTGCCTTCCTCTGGGTGCTTTCAGCCAGTACTTGCAGGCATCCATTTAACTTGGTTCCTCTCTGCCTGCCCCTGTAAACACCCAGTCCTGTTGGGAGGTAGCTCCCCACTCTCATAAAAAAGCAGGCATGAAGGTTTGTTAGATTAAGCATTATTTGAGCTTTTCTTAAGTTTATTTGCTTATCTTTCTCATCTTTGCTGATATGCATTTGACTTAAACTCAAAGGAAAAAGCCCTTGTAGCATTTATTACAGTCAATGACTACAGAAATTACCAGGGTTAAATCACAAAGGGTTATTCCATCAATAGTAAGAAGAGGATATCTAAAAGTCACTGCAAATGCATTCTCTTTGAATAACAGTTAAAGGACAAGAAAACTAAAGTAATTCTATTGTAATGCAAAGTACACAATTGACATTTTTCCATCTCTACTTCACAGAAAAAAATCAAAATCAAAACATTAATGCTAAGCACTTACTTTTTATTTTTCTGCACTAGATAAGGTGAAATTTCTATTTTATTTGGTTAACATGAAGAATCTTACATAAATTCAATAAAGGTGAAAGTGGATTTTCTCTCTGGAGAAGTGATGAATACTAACAATAATGGAGTATTCACTAGCACTCTTTATACGTGTAATATATATTAAAATACAATTTCATAGTGTCATTGACTATTAAACATTGCTAAAATCCATAAAATGAATTTTATCTGAATTCCAATTTGAAAAATTCAAACTTTAAGGAAATCCAATGCTGGTAATTCCATCACTGCTGTTGAGAAACATCAAAAGGGATTTACAGGTAGATAATTAAACACAACAACTTTACATTAACTTCACTTTTAGTGATTACAGGTAAACTAAACATCATTCGTACCTGAATGGTTTTGATCTGACTCGATCTTATTCTTACAGAGATCCCTTCTATTATTTGAGGCTCTACTTTATAAATGTTGTTAGACAGTGAAGAGGCTTCCTATAGATGGTTCACTCAGGGCCCTTTTGGCAGAAGCCTCATTGTGTTGTATGTACCCACAGGCCCTGCTCAAGTGTTACCTGCATGTGACCATACTTTCTACCAAACAACCCCGGCACCCCTGTCACCACTAACTCGACACAGGTGTTGGACCTGAAGCTGGCCACCCTGAAAAAGCCTGCTGTGAAAAGGTGGCTACCAAACTAGTGAGATCCTCCTTTTTAAAAAGAATGCAAGGCTCTAAAGGAGGCAGAAGAAAGGAGCAGCAGTCCAGGACCCTGTGGAAAGGCAGGCACAAGAGCCAGTCAGCCATTGTGCACCACAGCACACCCTCTCGAGCACCAGGCCAAGGAATTACAAGAGAAGAGATGAGAGGATGGGAATGTCCACAGGAGGGCCTGGCAAGCGAATACTTCTGAACAGTTTAATTAGTACTCATAAAGCACTAATTAAGAAAATGTTAACTAAATCAAGGACAGAAAGATTTCCTGAAACTATAAATCCTTGAATATACAAATTATGAAAATGAAATTACTATAATCAGTATTTCAACAGAACATTACCCACTGGTTTCAGTTATTACACAGACAAACACTCAATTTTAGGAAAACAAGCCTGCAATAACAAAGTTATGACAAACATTTGGCCATAAAAACTTGAAAATGTGCTTGTTTGTTTTAATACCAGTACTTAGGCCCCAGGTTAATCAATAAAACCAGAAACTTAGGGGTTGCACCCAAGGATGACAGAAGCTCCCAGGAAATTCTATTATGCAGCTAAGTCTCAAAGAAAACCACTGAACACTACTTCTTAGTCTCACCTTAGCTGCACAGAAACTGGAACCCATTAGCTAGGGTAGCACTGTGTTCTACAAGGCTACCCATGGGATTATGATGCATCTTCTAGAATGAAAACCACATCCTTGGGTGATATAGAAAAGTGTATCTGTTTTTAATTATAGAGATATAATATCTACCAACAATTTCTCCAATAAAGAAAACTCATGTAAAGACATAAAAGATACACTTAGGTATTAAGGGATAAACAATTCAAAAAGATGCTCAAATCCTTACATAAAAATCAAGATAAAACTTCATGTATACAAAGTCCATTTAAAATACTGGGTTAAGAGACCCTGTCAAAACAATAACCATGGTGGCTTCCAAGTATTGGGGGGTATAGTGGTGTTGTTTAAAAAATAATTATTTTTATGAGTTTGAAAAAAATATATACGTTTGTAGTATCTGGGTCACTTCCACATATACACAAAAGCTAAGAATAAAATAGAAAGATTTCTAGGAAATAAAAGTATTTGTATGGCCTTAGGGTAAGAAAAGCTTTCTTAAGACCAAAAAAAAAAAGAGAGAGAGAGAGAGAGAGAGAGAGAGAGCAAAAGCCTTAAACTGACATACTATTGAAAACGCATAATCTCACAATTTTAAAATAAAAGACTCCATAAACGAAATGAAAATCCAAGACCAGGATTGTGAAAATATACTTAAATATTAGCAAATAGTGGGTCACTGCAGGAAGAGAAAAATTGTTGCAGATCAATACAATACCTAATAACCAATAGGGAACTCATAGACCCATAACCAAGCAAGTGGCAGGAAAGAAAATTTATACAGGCAAGAAAAATTACTCAAATCCACTTGTAATGAGGAAGTGAAAACTAAACAATGAGATACCATTTGTTATTATTATTAGATTAGCAAAAATCAAAAAGTCTATCAATAGCATATTGTGGGGATATAAACTGGCATAGTTGACTAGGAAAACAGCTTTAGGTAACCTAGAAAAACTGAGTCAGCCTTTCCAGCAATTCTAAACTCAAGGTAAAACCCTCATGTATACTAACACAATATGCACAGGAAAATCTGTACGATACTGTTTTTTCATTTGTTTTGCTGTTTTTTTGTTTTGTTTTGTTTTTTTGGTACCAGGGATCGAACTCAGGCCCTTTTACACTTGTGAGGCAGGCACCAGAACCACTGAGCTAAATCCCTGGCCCTGGATACTGTTCTTAATAGCAAAAAAAAAAAGTGGCAACAACCTAAATGTCCACCACTGGGGAAAGGGTAAACGAAATGTGGTACATTTATACAAAGACATATTCTACGACAATTATGGGAAATAAATTACATGTTACAACATGAGTAGTTCTCAAAAAAAGTAACTAAATCAAGTCACAATGAAATGTAATTTATAAGACCATTTATATGTATTCTTAAAACCTCTGAAACTAAACATTTTCTATATATCCAGGCATCTATATAAAAATAACTTTTAAATGACCTATATTAATACACTGGTAATAGAGGTCAGGTTATTTCTGGAAAAAAAAAAGGATGGGAAACTACATTGTGGGCAATAGTCAAAAAGGACCTTAGTTTTATTTGTAATGTTCTAATATCCAAAAGGAGATAAAACATTAATTACTCTTTTAAAAGTAGTTTTAGAAGAATCTGAAAGTAAGTCAAAGTACTTGTTTTTAAATCTGGGTGGGAAACATATGAATATTTGTCATTTTTTTCTTGTGTGTTCACGCAGTTTTTTCCTCATCTCCTTCCAAAAAAGTTCTTTATCCCCTCAATTAAAAAAAAAACAATATGCTATATAATATGAACATTAGCATCCCCAGTAATGATCTGATCCCTATGTGTTCAAACCATGTAGTTTTTATTCTTTTATTACAATACAATAGTTCAGTCAAAATTAGTTTCTACTTACGCATGTAAGGCAGTTTTTCTGGGCAGGGGAGGTATGGTGAATATGTGAAGTTTTCTGGAAGATACGTTGTTGTTTGGACAGGATAATCACTCGAATTATTACCTTCAGGATAATCTTGGAAGGAGAGAAGAAAGTTAGAACCAAAATGCTTCCTTTGGCTTTACCTCTACTATGAAATGTCTCTGTGATGAGATTGTATGACACAATCTCCAGAAGTACTTAAAAGCAATTATCTAGAAAGTACTAGAAAAAAGCAAACTTGATTTTCCAGGTGATGTCTAGAGCACACCACAACCTATCACTGTACACAAACACAGCATCCTCATCTGTAACCTCCTAGGAACACCTGCTCCCAAGCCTCCCTGGCCAGCCATATCAAAAGGAAATCTATTCCAGGTGAGGCAGGAGTAATATTTTCTCACTACTTCACATTTAACAAATTGAAATTTACCCACTCAACTTATTTCTGTAGCATGTAGTCTATTCTAAACCTTCAAATTAGTTATTTCAATCTGTAAGCTACAGCCCGCCCTTGGGAGTCCTAGAGTTATTATTACATTAGGCCCATTTTCTTCAGAGTCAGGGAGTTATGCAACACATGTAGTGCAGTGGCTTAGGGAACCAAAGTCAAACACTTGCTTTTAAATCCTTACTCAAGTGTGTACTAGTTTTCAGGAAGGGCAATATTCAGTTTCTCATCTATTCCTACCTGCTATTGTCACGTTCCGATTTCAATAAGATAAAATATCTGAAAAACTTAGGGATCTCTGACCCATATAAATACTCAACAGTTGGTAGCAATGAATGACTGATTTAGACATGAGCACCTGATCCAATATGAGACAGTGAGAACCTTAGGATTTCTGAACAAGAAATCACATTTCAGTCTCTTTCTGTATGTTGCAAGTCTGAAATGCATATCTGAGCGACATACATGCCTTTTCCCTCTGTACAGAGGAAGCTGGCCTAAGAGAATGCAGTAAGAGATAAGAGACAAAAACAGCTGATTAAACTAGTCTGCCTTCCTAGATCTGACCACATACCACAGAAAATGAAACTCTAGCAGACACTTGAAAAGAATGTGTAGTTATCATTTCAGTCTTCAGTAATCTGTTCCAATGAGAGAGACTTGTAAAAGCTAAACCCTCTGACTCATGGGTAAATGGCAGAGGTATGGTTATGATGTGTGTGAGAAGAGCCAAAGCAAAGTAAGCACCTCCCTTGCACACCGCTGCCTAACTAACTGTGTTCACTGTCAAATGCAGCGATAAGGCTGCAGCCTGAGCGATAGGACAGCACTTGAGAGCAGAGACCATCCCACCTCCAGTACAATCTATGGAAAAGGGCTCTGCCAAGGCTGCTAAGCAGAGGTTGATGAGATGGACAAAGGCTCTGGGCCTGGCACCAAGAAAGAAACAGAAGCCAAAGGACAGCATAGAAATCCCAGTTAGGATTCTCAGGGCATCAGTGAGGTGTTAATTGTATCGCTAGAAAACTCTGACACGATAAATAAAGACAGATGATGGTAAAACTGCCTGTTCCAGTAGGATGTGGGAAGCCCCCACAGAGCCACTGCCCCTAAAGTTTCTTCTGAAGGAGACTGAAAAGCATCTGAGAAGGAAAATCCTCCAAGCCATACAGAGAAAGATTTACTGGGCAATGCTTCATGAGCCCAATGACAGACCAGGGCCTCAGATACTGTTTCCAGGCCTACACTCTATACATATCTCACTTGTACTTATTCAACAGACTTAAATATACTGCACTAAACACAAAATAGCTGTCAGAAAGCCCAATAAGACTCTGATTCTTAGGATGCTTTAAAAAATTGGATATATATCAAATTAAAATCATATTTTATAAATGGTTTTGCTTTTATGGAACTTCTACTTTGCTAGTGGTAGGAACCCGTGCTCCAAGGATGAATCAAGTTTCTGGCATTTCTGTCAGAAACAGCTCAGATTATCATTATGAGCTTTGTGATAGATTTTGGTCAAACTCCTTGATGTTTACCTTAGAGTTATTTATTCATCTTCAATTCAACAAATTGACTTTGCTGTTTACTGATACTATAGTTTACTTTTTTCCATTTGAAAAGCAGACAAGGAAGACTTATTTCAGGCCCACAGTAAGAAAAGAAAAAAATCAAACAAAACTAATCATTAAAAATTAAAGGTATAGTGGAAGGGTAATAAGGGAAAAGAAAAAATGTGAGATAATGAAAAGATGAAAATAAAGTATTTGTAGATGGGGAGGGGAGGAGGGGGATAGTTTACTTTTCCATTTGAAAAGCAGACAAGGAAGACTTATTTCAGGCCCACAGTAAGAAAAGAAAAAAATCAAACAAAACTAATCATTAAAAATTAAAGGTATAGTGGAAGGGTAATAAGGGAAAAGAAAAAATGTGAGATAATATAAAGATGAAAATAAAGTATTTGT